ATGAGGCAGAATGACAGAAAAAAATAAACGATGGGATCAAAGAACATCACAGAGGAATGAAATCCAAGATGATTAATATTGTGACAGATTATAACAACTGCAAAGGGAAACGCCTCTGTTGAAATAAGGCGAGTGTTCATTTACAGCATCTGTGATGTTGATCTGTCTAGAACTTTGCAGGATAATCTAAATCTAATGTAAACACGGAAGGGAAAACTTTAAATGCAACTTCTAAGGGCCAAAACATACTCTGCAGATGTATATGAATGCTAGCCGTTCTAGCTACTTAAGCTCCATTTCTGTTTTAACGGCACAGATATTTTAAGGTAACTATCGCCTTTTTGAGGACTATGGTTTGTTTCCACCTGAACACGTGCAATGTTAGACTTCATGCATTGCTAGCATGTTGTTAGCATGTTCTGCACTACCATTCAAAAGTTGGGGTCAGAGTGATTTTTTTTAAAGAAATTAATAATTTCATTCAGTAAGGATCCATTTACTTGATCAAGTGTCATGCAGTAAATATTTCCATTTTAAATAAATGCTGTTCTCTGAAGTTTCTATTCACCAAAGAATCCTGAAAACATACATCATGGTTTCCACAAAATCAATACTAGTTTATTTCATACTCGTAATTCTTATTTTATATGTTCATATAAATATAATGATATATTCAAATAAAATGATAAACACTTTACAATAAGGTCACATTCATTAACATTAGTTAATGTATTAACATGTTTTAACAATGAGCAATACATTTGTTACAGTATTTATTACTCTTTGTTGATGTTAGTTAATAAAAATATAGTCGTTCATGTTAGTTCACACTGCATTAACTAATGTTAACAAATACAGCTTTTAATTGTAATTATGTATTAGTAAATGGTGAAATATTAACTAAGATTAATAAATGCTGTAGAAGTATTGGTCAGTAGTTCATGTTAACTAAAGTAGTTAAACCTTATTGTAAAGTGTTACTAATAACACTTCTCAAATATGACAATATTTTTTGTATAACACTAGTTTAGCTGGAATACATAATTTGACATTTCAAAGAATTTTTTTTTTTTTAATTAACTAAATTAATGTAATTTGGAGGTTAATGTAACATGTTAATAACACAGTAACTTTAAAAACATTTAAATCTTTACGCATTCACATGTTGCTTAATACGGTGCAATATGGTTTTAGTTGAAGTTGCAGCAAGTCAAAGCTGACCTGTGAATGCAAAGGCGTATGTTGATTTTGAATGCATTAGGAGGGTTTTCAACAAAAATATTTCATCGCTAGCGTGTTGGAGCTGGCTGTTAGAGTGTATAGGGTGGCCAAGCATTCATGTCTATGTTTGTATACTTATGTAGAGTATGCTTCTGCCCGTAATGGCTCAATTTCTTAAAATTTGCTTTAGTCCTTGCTTTAGTTTATTCTAATTATTTCTGCAACATCATCCTTTTGAGATGTTGAACTCCTTACTTGCTCTCGTTTCTTTTGTATTGTCTGTCTGCCACTGTATAAAACTGGAAAAGGCATTATATGCTCCAATACCTAGAATCATTGGTGGGCTGACCACATGAATAATCAGAGGAATCAAAATGTCCCTGTTGAAGTTTTGCATGATTCAACCGTTCACATTATTCTAAAGATAAATGATTGTTTTTATAATTCTTTAATAAAATGTTAACTTTTCTCTGGATCGTCAGTCGGGCGGAAACCTTGTATCTCCATATTTACTCATTTTTATTTTTATCCTTTACGTCTATCTGTGGGTTTTGCAAATATTTATCCAATGAAAAGTTTTAAGAAGAGCTTGTGACTAAACTTCTTAATGCATTGGATCATAATTCAAACTCATAACTCCATCCGCACACATTTTGGAACGTCTCTGCTTGTTTGCAATGCAAGGGTAAATGAAGAACTGGTTGTTTGCTTTGAATAAGTAAAGCATTTTATATATGCATAAAGGCAAATGATTCATGCATTTGACAATCGGAGAAGAGCGTCTTAGTCTAGCATTTATCGTCGAGTCACAGCCAATACTGTATAAAATTGTTTGTGTGTAGCACTTTATCGGTTATAACATGAGATTTTGGCCACATGACTGTACTTTATAACCTGCTAAGGTGATGTATTCATGTAAACACAGTTAGTTATGTTTTAAGTGAACGTAAACAGTTGAGAGAGAAAACACGTGTAACAGTATAATGGATATGTGCGTCAGGTCATAAAGTGACAGCAGCCTAATATTCCTGCTGCCAAATTATAAGATAATATTAAAAATATCTATATGGCAGTTTTTTCCCCATGCTGAGTGGCTATTAACTTTGGAAAACCACTAGCGACAATGGCTGGCGAGCCAAAAAGTTAATGTCACTGAACATAACATGCATGTGTCTGACCATATATAATACTACAATATATATTATTTTAAAAAGTGTTTTTTGGCCATTTTTTGAAAAGTACTGTTTTTGGAAAAAGAGGAATAAGAGGTTTCCGCCCGACAGAAACAAAAATCAAGAGGTGCTTGATTAGACGAACATCCTCATCGCAATACTAAGGTGTTGTCAATGGTTTCCGGACGGTCAAAGTGTTTGTGTGTTTGACTGTCATTGTGGGTTTTAGCAAGTTACTAAGTTAGCAGTTGTTAGGGTTTTCTGGGTGGTTGCTAGGAAGTTGGCAGGCTAACGTTTACCAAGCCAATCAAATCCCAATTAATTAATTCAAATTCTGTCACAAGTTTCCCTCTATTCAATTTTTACTTCACATGACAGAGGGCCATTTCATGATGTCTTTAAAGAACCATATCCAAATAGTATTAAGACATCCTGAAGAATGAAGCATAAATCAATGATAGAGTCATGAGAATGTTTATGGATCAGCAGAAGAGAGACAAAGAGCAAATGTGAAAAGAATGCCAAAGGAAAATGTGCACAAGGTTTATGGGTTTTCTTAAGGTTGAGGTTTCTAAACTCTCGCTATATTTTTAAGAATTGCACGCTGCCCTCTCCCTCTCTCTCTATTCATCTGCCTCTCTTTCTGTTTCCTCTATAAGTCGATGAGTTGGTCCACCAGCAGAAGAGAGCGTGCCAGCGAGGGCAGACTGGTCTCAGAACTGCCACTGTTGCTGCGAGAATGACCACCTAGAACATGCCGGAAAGAGGAAAAGAGAAAGAGTGAGGGGAGAGAGAGAGCGAGAGAGAGAAGGATGTGAGGAATGAGAAGTGTGAGAAAGAATGAGGATGAAAAGAAGACGTTGACGGAGGGTGAGTGAAGAATGAGGGGTGAGAAAAGAAAGGAGGAAAGAGAAAAAGCAAAAACCAGATGAATAGCAGGAAAGAGAAAGCATAAAACGCTAAAAGATAACAGATCGGAATCGAAGTGAAATATTTTAAAGAGGATGGCTAGAAAGTAAAAACAAAACCCCAAAAAGCCTAGATAATACTATATTTTTATGGTCCCCTTTTGACATTCTATTAACTAGAAGTAACGTTGCACCTACATGTTAACTAACTCTCATTAGAGTATTAGTAGAGTATTAGTAGACTGTCTGCTTAATATCTGCTAACACTTTATTTTGATGCTCCTCAACAGACGTTCTACTGACTATAAGTAACATTGCAAGTGCATGTCCACTTATTCGAACCCAAATCTAACAATGTACTAATACTCTACTAACACTCTAATGAGAGTTAGTAGACATGCATGTAGTTGCAACGTTACTTATAGTCAGCAGAATGTCTAAAGGGGACCATCAAAATAAAGAGAAACCAAAGTCTAAAGTCTTGGAGAATTACAGTTTGTTTCGCTGTAATGCTACTTGTGGTCATAGTTTACATTTTAGATTTAATATATTGACAACCACATACTTGAATATCATAAAAGCCATGTCCAATTTCACCACAAAACTAAAAGAAATGTAATATCAATTATATTTTGCATTAAGCAAATTAAGCCAATTTTAGGAATATATATTGGGGTCAATAAGATGTTTTTTTTTATGTTTTAGAAATTCTTAATTTTTCATGATTTATTTGAAATATATATATATATATAAAAAAAAATTTTTTATTTATTTTAATGTATTTTAAAATTTAATTTTACCCCCGTGATCAAAGTTGAATTTTCAGCATCATTATTCCAGTCTCCAGTGTCACATGATCCTTCACAAATCATTCTAATATGATGATCTGCTGCTCAAGCAACATTTCTTATCAATCTTGAAAACTGTTGTGCTGCCTAATATTTTTGTTAAAACCTATATACATATTTTTTCAGGATTCTTAAATGAATAAAAAGTTCAAACAACAGTATTTATTTGAAATAGAACATTATAAATGTCTTTACTGTCACTTTTGAACTACTTAATGCATCCTTGTAAAATAATTTAATGTAAAATAAAATAATTACTATTTCTTGAAAAAAATATTGACCCCAAAGTTTTGAATGGTAGTGTATACACAATAAAAATAATGAATATTTATTTATAATACATATTAAAATGACTGTCTAAAAAAAAATCTGTATTACAGAATTTAAGGTTTGTTTATATATTTTTAATGAGAATAACCACTGACCAATAAAGGAATTATATTAAGATATAAAAGTATTGAGAATTTGGGAAAATAAATGTCCCAATGCCTTTTGAGTTTTTATTGAAATATGACAGTGACATGTTTTTGTATGATTCACCCATTTAAAAATGACTGCGACAGGGCGAGGAAAGTTCACGATTGAGAAATTTAAGCATGTGTCAAAGGAGTATTTCCAATTCTTTTGCATTACTCAAAGTCAGGTCAGTCAGCTTCTACTTAAACAATTGTTCAACGACGTCAAAAACACCAGTATCTCAGAACAATCTAACTCTACACTTACACTACCACTTCACTTTGATCACTGAAAAAGTTTGCAAACATATGCCTACACTTCAGTGTGAATTAGATGCAGTAAATAAATCATGTGCTCTCTTCCAAAAACCTTTGCTGATATCCAAACTCCCTTACCTTGGCTGGAGCTTTTGGAGATAAGCACTGGAATTGGATCAAACTGGTTATCGGAGCTTTGGTCCCCAGTCTCAGAGCACTGGAAGCTTGAGAGGGGAGAGGCTGCAGGAAGAGGTTAGTGCCACAGCAGACCGATGGAGAGGAAACAAAAAAAAGAAAGATTAGGAAGAGTGTTAGAGAGGGGGGAAAAAGAGTGATTATAGATAAGCAAGAACAGGTAGTTAATGCAAGACAAGGTCCTTAACAAGCAAATAGACTTCCAGAAATATAGTGCTTTAAAGCAGCACTAAGTAGGAATTCCGTTTTTGTCAAACAGCGACCCCTAGAGTCGCTGTGGAGTACTTGTACTGTCGTGAATAGCACTCACGGCCGGATCCCCTCCCCCTGTACACCGGTACCTGTTCAGTAGAATGGACGCTGTAACGAGTGGAAATAAAGTAGGGCCCCTTTAATAGCTGCGCGCGCCCTGTTTAACTGTCGGCAGTCTGTATTGTATGCGCGCCTCGAACACCACATGTATACGGCCCACCGGCCCAAAGTTGCAAGGGTGGTTTTGCGGCTCACAGGCACCAGGGGGGTGCGAGACAACCACCATTCAACACGAAATCAGTAATATAAACATTACAATGACTCCAAAGCTGTTCGGTTAAGGTAAAAAAGTTACTTAGTTCACCTTTAAGTGCTTAAAGGCAGGGTAAGCAATTTGTTCCAGATTTGGTCTAAATGTACATCGTCTGTATACAAAAATGTTGGTCCAATCATTCCCCTCGTTCCAAATGCAATGATACAATGTCCTACTGGCTGTCAATGTATGTATTTCCATACCTCCGCGCAGACATCACACATCATCAGTGCGTTTCATGCTATGCAGAGTTAGACAGGCGTCAGTCACAAGCACCGCAACCGAAACAGCAGACGCCTTTTACAGTTCCTACTCAACCAAAACAACAAGCTTAAGTTGCGTACACGCCATACTAATTTGGAAGAGATGGAAACCTGTGACGTTATACTCGGAGCGGTTCGTGACTCGAACTTATGCATATCAATGGCAACACTATCAACGCTGAAATTAATCTGCAGCAGTCAGGTGGTACAGGTCAACGCTCTTTAAGTTGTTTATGTTCATTATTATTGTAATGTTATGTGCTGTGAGACATTAAATAGTTTAACACCGTCTCAAGTGTTCATGTGTTTTGAAGGAGGTGTGGCTTTGGAGATGCTCTGAAGGGAGGATGGGATCTTGTGCTTTCAAAGCTAGCTCGCTATTGTTAGCCTCTCCGAAAATTGCCTACCCTATTTTTAATTTGTCTGAGCACAAATTTTCATCGTTTTAGCTGGCAGTTTAGGCCAATTTTGTTTATTTGCTCTGCAAAAACAAAAACTTTTTATCACAGGCTGATTCAAATTGGCTTCTATTTTTGGCTGTGTTTCATTGGGAAGCTCCACCCATTGCGAATCTCATTGGTCCAAAATCATACTCCACTGACTAATTGAAACATTAAATATGTCCTGATTGGCTGTGATTGTGTCTTGTTACATACTTGCTTCTCATTGTCAATGCTTTATGTTTATGTTGTATGTGTCAGTAAGATTTTTTAAATATTTTTGAAAGAAGTCTCTCACCAAGGCTGCATTTATTTATCTTCAAAAATACAGTAAAAACAGTAATATAGTGAAAAATAATTACAATTAAATAACCGATTTCTATTTGAAAATATTTATATTTTAATTTATTCATGTGTTGGCAAAACTTTTCCAGTCTTCAGTGTCTCATGATCCTTTAGAAATAATTCTAATATGCTGAATTCCGGCTCAAGAAATAATTTTTATTATCATCAATGTTGAAAACAGTTGTGCTGCTTCATATCAGGAGTGGAGACAAAAAGTTGTAAATATCATTAAGTTTATGACAGTAGTTGAACTGACAGAGAAAACTGACATTTTAGAAGTACCTCAATGCTTTTGCATTTATGCATTTGGCAGATGCGTTTTATTCAAAGGCTTTAGGGATTTACATTTTACCATCTCATGCATTCCCTGAGAACTGAACCCATCGAATCGAACCTTTGACCTTGATGTTGCTGGCTAGTGCTATGTTCTATTGATTTGACCAACAGGAAAGCATCAGATAGTGACAGAAAAGCATACAGTTGGCTTGGGACACAATTTGGATTGCAGCAATGGGTGAAATCGAACTTGCATAGCTATTAGTATTAGTATAAGCCAAATAAGCCAAAGGGGCTTTTTGTTTTTTGTTTTAAATGAATTTATTTCCCCAAAATGTGCTATTTGTAAAAAAAAAAAAAAAAAAAAAAAAAAATCAAACATTAAACTTTACAATCTATGGCTTGTTACAACTGAGGTAAGTATGCATACGGTTCTTACCCTGGTGGGACTGTCCACTGCTCAAAGCAGTAGTGGTAAACTGGTCCATAGATGGTGCAGGAAGAGATGAGGGGGATGAAGCCAGTATTAGACCCCCAGTGGAGGGGAGGGAGAGAAGCGGCCCATCCAAAAGATAATCCTGTCCAACCAGGGACTCTGGAGGACATAGGGCAAGCATGAAGAATAAAGAATGATAGAGAACAGAAGGATGAGTGACAACAATAATACAATATTGAGAATATAAAGAGAGAGTTCCAAACAAAAAGACTTCCACAAGGTTCAGGTGGGACAGATAAAACAGAGTGCAAGAGAAGTATGAAGAGGATGGGTAGAAGGTGGCAATGAGAAATCAGTGAGTAGCTCTGCAGCAGAAGTGAATGAGACCCACAACATACTCTACGAAAGCTTGATTTCACATGATGTTGTGTTCAAAATGTGTCAGAACTAGTGCTTGTGATGCCAATCGAACTTAAAACGAGTTTATATAATTTATGTATGTGTATACACTCACCTAAAGGATTATTAGGAACACCATACTAATACTGTGTTTGACCCCCTTTCACCTTCAGAACTGCCTTAATTCTACGTGGCATTGATTCAACAAGGTGCTGAAAGCATTCTTTAGAAATGTTGGCCCATATTGATAGGATAGCATCTTGCAGTTAATGGAGATTTGTGGGATGCACATCCAGGGCACGAAGCTCCCGTTCCACCACATCCCAAAGATGCTCTATTGGGTTGAGATCTGGTGACTGTGGGGGCCATTTTAGTACAGTGAACTCATTGTCATGTTCAAGAAACCAATTTGAAATGATTCGAGCTTTGTGACATGGTGCATTATCCTGCTGGAAGTAGCCATCAGAGGATGGGTACATGGTGGCCATAAAGGGATGGACATGGTCAGAAACAATGCTCAGGTAGGCCGTGGCATTTAAACAATACCCAATTGGCACTAAGGGGCCTAAAGTGTGCCAAGAAAACATCCCCCACACCATTACACCACCACCACCAGTCTGCACAGTGGTAACGAGGCATGATGGATCCATGTTCTCATTCTGTTTACGCCAAATTCTGACTCTACCATCTGAATGTCTCAAAAGAAATCGAGACTCATCAGACCAGGCAACATTTTTCCAGTCTTCAACTGTCCAATTTTGGTGAGCTCTTGCAAATTGTAGCCTCTTTTTCCTATTTGTAGTGGAGATGAGTGGTACCCAACAGTCTTCTGCTGTTGTAGCCCATCCGCCTCAAGGTTGTGCATGTTGTGGCTTCACAAATGCTTTGCTGCATACGTCGGTTGTAACGAGTGGTTATTTCAGTCAAAGTTGCTCTTCTATCAGCTTGAATCAGTCGGCCCATTCTCCTCTGACCTCTAGCACCAACAAGGCATTTTCGCCCACAGGACTGCCGCATACTGGATGCTTTTCCCTTTTCACACCATTCTTTGTAAACCCTAAATGGTTGTGCGTGAAAATCCCAGTAACTGAGCAGATTGTGAAATACTCAGACCGGCCCGTCTGGCACCAACAACCATGCCATGCTCAAAATTGCTTAAATCACCTTTCTTTCCCATTCTGACATTCAGTTTGGAGTTCAGGAGATTGTCTTGACCAGGACCACACCCCTAAATGCATTGAAGCAACTGCCATGTGTTTGGTTGATTAGATAATTGCATTAATGAGAAATTGAACAGGTGTTCCTAATAATCCTTTAGGTGGGTGTATATATTATTATATTTACATACATCACAGATATTCATTTGTGTTTCTTTTCATGGACTTTTAGTTTGTATTCGGTAGTTCATGTGTTCCTTTGTTTCAGTTTCCTGCTTCTCATTTGTTGTTATGGACATTCATTCAATCATCACAGATGTTTTTCATGTTCCCTCATTTAGCCAGTATTTAAGTTGCTCTGTTTTTCCTTCAGTTGTCAGTTGTTAATTGTGTTTATGCTTGTGTTTGCATTTGACACACTGTTACCCTAGTCCGGATTTTGTTTATTAAACCACGTTTAATCTTTGCCTGCCTTCTGTATGTCTGTCTTTATCTTCAGTCTCCGTAATAGAACAAGCGACCACTGAAAATGATAATGGAATATGCAGCGAGATTTGCTGCGGTGGCCCAGAGAAGCCACATTTTGTTGGAATACATGGAGGGTTTCTACCCTCTTACAGTCACCTGTCTCTACGACAACAAGACCCTGAAATCATTGTTCTGAGTCGGAGCGAACTACTAGCCTGACTACGTCAGACTTCGTACTTCCGCTCAATTTCAGTTCGCGTCTGTACTCAGTCTGAGATGGCGACCTCTCTCTCAGTTTTCCTCCGGCCTGAAAACAGCCGACCAATCAACGAACAGAGGGCAGGCTGAGAGCCGTGACGTAGACACTAAGCGCAGAGTTTAAAATTGTATTTTAGGTTAGGGAAATCGAAAACGACCGCGGATATGGAGATACGGGATGCAATTCGCTCTGTTGTGGAGAATATTCCCGGCATTTGCAAACTGAAGCCCGAACAAGAAGTTTGGTATTACCAGGCTAGCGAACTACCACCACCCAGTAGAACTCCCAGACACCTCAGGCCTTAACTGGAGGGAGGCCATCATCAGGTATCTGGAGAAGTTCCAGAACACAGCCAGACCAAGAGCCCAACCCACAAACACCCTCAGCCGCAGAGAATTTGCGAGTTCCCCCTGCAGACGGAGAACGACCGCCCGCCACGATGAATGAGCCAAATCCCGAGGATAAGAGGACAGTGCCGACAATAGCAGCGGAACAGGAGCCCCAGAGTGAGTCTGACCTGGGGTGTGAGCCCACAACATCAGCAGCTGAGGGAATGCACGTGGAAAAATCGAGGACTAGCTGATTGACATGGATACGGAGGTACTGCCTCCCACCAGGTGTTATCTACTGTTTCGTTGACTTGTTGGGAAGTGGAGTTACCGTTATTGATCACATCAAGTTTACCTCTATCATCCTCAGCGCAAAGCTCAGCCAGTCCTCAAGCCCCGCCTCTGCTGGATGCTAGCAGCCCTTTGTCTTCCCTGGAACGCCTTGCTGTGACGTTAAGCCTCAGGTTTTGCAACAACCAGCCTCGCCCAAACGAGAGGATCCTGTGGCTTTGCCTCCGGCCTCGGATCCCTTCGCTCCACCTTGGCCCATCGACCTCTCGGCTTCGCCTTGGCTCCTCCCACCTTTGGCTCCACCAGAGACCCTCGGCCTTGCATTCTCTGTCACACCGACTCTGCCTGAGTCCTCGGGCACTCTGGCTCCGCCTCCGCCTCAGACGTTCGTCACCACGGCTTCACCTAGGTCTCCAATGCCAGCGATGTCGCTTTGTACCATCGGCTCTCTGTCTGTGCCCTGGGATCCTGAGGCCCCGCCTCCATTGCAGGATGTGGTAAGCCACAGCAACACCTGGGCTCCGCTGCCATCCCTGCTGAGCTCTGGGTCTGCATCGCCGGGCATCTACCATCATCACCGCTGGGGTCTTGTCATCCTACTATCTCTTCACCATCTCCTCTTCACGCTGCAAGGTCGCACCTTCCGGGAAGTTGTGTTTTGATGGACTTTTAGTTTGTATTCGGTAGTTCCTGTGTTCCTTTGTTTCAGTTTCCCGCTTCTTATTTGTTGTCATGGACATTCATTTAATCGTCATAGGTGTTTTTCATCTGTTCCCTCATTTTGTAATTTATTCACTCATTCACACAGAGACAAGCAGAACATACACGCTTCATATTTAAATAACAGTATCTTTGAGATTTAATATTCACAGACACTAGCCTGTCTCGTGATTTGATTAAGTATTCAGTCCTACTTATTTATTCATTCAAATTCTGCCACATATTGCCACATTATACGGTAAATTCTATTTTTATTACTGGATTCCATTATTACGGTTTGTACCACTAGAGTAATGTAAGAGTACACTTTAAATATGTACAGCGGCCAAACACTTGTGTCTGAATTCTCACACTTCTGCAAATTATGTTTGAGGCCTGAAACCACTTGAAAGAGTAAAAAAAATATTCCTGTAAAAAATAATGACTATTACTGAATATATGCTATCAAGCTTCAAAATAAATTTTAGGGGCCATAACAATGTCAGTGATGCAAATAAAACAAATATTAACTACAAGTGCTACAGCATAGGCTGTAGTACAACTACAACCAACAGGCCCACAATAAGACACACTGGGAATAACCCATGAATGTATTTGATACACACTGGGATGTAGTTTGCTATTTAGTCACCAGGTGGCTCTACACACAATACAAACAGAAAACAACACAGTCCAAACTGGACTGCGAGATCAAGAAAGGTGACACAGCACTTTGAGGCTTTTAAAGGAATATTCTGTAGGTCATCACCCCAGCATGACCAACAACGTGCCATTCTTTTTGCTGCCAAAATAATTAATTACTCATCATTCAACCAAACCATCCACATGTTATCATCAACAAGCGATGACAAGTTGCTTCACTGCTAACAAGGACAGATGAGGTCATGTGGTTACTGTGCAGAAAGTATCAGCATTTTTTCATCAGTGGAACTGAACTACTGTTATTGATTCCCTTTTTTAAGAACACCGCAGTGAATAAAGGGATTCTAATGGACCAAAGATCCTGCTCCATTTCATGGTACATAGAAAACACTGGGCTGAAAATCTAATAACTTCAAAGACTGATACCTGAAACAGAGCAGAAAATATGCCAAACCAATCTTAATAAAATTATAAAATGTTAAGCCTTGTACAGTAATCACAAAACGGTGATCCAGCCGATCAGTGAGAAAAGTAACCCTACCAAAAAGAACTGCGACAACACTATCCATGCTTCGGTAGCAGTTTTGACTAAAATGTAATACTTGGAGTAATAACAATGGTATGTAATTATTTCAATGGAGGTTGATAAAATGGCAGTGATAATGTCATCCAGAACACCTTGCAGATTTTTCCAATGTCAGCAGATTCAGTGCTTCAGTGAGCCACTGTATAAAAGGAGAATATTTACAGAATTGCTGACCTGGCAGTGCAGCTGACCCAGGATCAGTCTGTAGAGGATCCAGACCAGGGATCAGAGAATTCGTCCCAACTGCAGAAAGAAAAAAAAGAAAAGAGACAAATTTGACGTTTTACGCAGCAAATGTAAAGGTGAGAGAGATGGTCTTGGTGATGTCAATTCACTCCATGCATCAAGCAGCACTCTTTAAACCAGATCATTCAAAGACATACAGATGCCTGATGAAGACAACGTTTACAACAACTATACAGACGAAGAAGAGATGAAACCGCAGTGGGGTTATAAGAATAGACAGAAAGGAGTAAGTCAGAAATGGGGACGATCCAGGAGTTACTCTGAGCTGAACTAAGAAAACAATCACCATTAAAACACCAATGAAGGCCAGTGAGGCAATTCATCAGTTGTGGGGTTATGGGCAATAAAAAACAAAAACAACAATAAACAGACAAGCGGCTGGTTACCATGACTACTGTCTGCAGGGCTGAAGGGGTCATTCAAGGGAAGGTCAGGGAGGATCAGGGAGGAAGAGGGCTCTGGAGACTTCAAACCCTCAATCAACTTCTCTACTCCATGAGCGAAGAGGAGACAGTGAGGAGAAGGGAAGAAAGAAGAAACAGTGAGGAGAGAGCAAGGAGAAGGGAAGAGAAGAAACAGAAAGGAATGAAAGATGAGGAGAGGAAAGGAGAAGAAATTGGTCAGTGAGGTAGAGAAGAGATGAAAGGAAGAGAGGGGACAAAGAGAAGAATAGACGATAAAATAGAGAGGAGAATGCAGAGCGACAGTGAGGAGATAAGAGATGAAAGAAGGAGAGGAGACTGTAAAGAGAAGAGAGGATAACAGAGATCGTGAGAAGGTCAGGAGAGTTAGGCAAGGAGAGAGTGATGAAGGAGATGAAAGAAGGAGATGAAAAGAGGAGACTGAGGAGAGGAGACAGAAGAGAGCAGATGGGACTTTAGGGGGAATAGACAGTAAGGAGAAAATAAATGAGAAAAGAAAAGAAACAATGAGGAGGAGAAATGGGGAGACAGTGAGGAGAGGAGAGGAGAGGAGAGGAGAGGAGAGGAGAGGAGAGGAGAGGAGAGGAGAGGAGAGGAGAGGAGAGGAGAGGAGAGGAGAGGAGAGGAGAGGAGAGGAGAGGAGAGGAGAGGAGAGGAGAGGAGAGGAGAGGAGAGGAGAGGAGAGGAGAGAGGAGAGGAGAGGAGAGGAGAGGAGAGGAGAGGAGAGGAGAGGAGAGGAGAGGAGGTGAAGAATCAGCAAGGACCGCAGTGAGAAGGAGATGAGACAAAGAGGAGAACAGAGATAGAGAGGAGGATACATTGAGGAGAGGGGACAGAAGAGAGGAGTAGAGACAGTGAGGAGAAGAGATTGAGACAACAAGAAGAGAAGACAGAAGAAAAGAGACAGTGAAGAAAATATTGAGGGGACAGTAAAGAGAGGAGAGGGGAAACAGTGAGAGTGGAGACAGTGAGGAGGACAGGACATGAAAGGAGTAGAGATCACAGTAAAGAAAGAAGAGGAGAATAGAGGCAGTAAGAAGAGGAAACGAAGAGAGTGAGGAAAGTAAAAGAAAGGAACGAGTGAGGAAGAGAAGAGATTAAATCGGGAGAGAAGGGAGAGAAGACAGTGAGAAGGAGACAAGGAAGTGAGGAAGAAAAGAGACAGTGAGGAGAGGAGAAGAGAAAGGTAACAGTAAGGAGAGAGAGGAGAAGAGACAGTGAGGAGGAGAGGAGGAGACTCAGTTATGAGCAGAGAGAGGAAACAGTAAGGACAGGAGAGTATACAGTGTGGAGAGGAGATTTAATGGGTTAGTTCACCCCAAAATGAAAATTTCAGTAATTACCCACCCTCATGTTGTTCCAACCCCGTAAGACTTTCGTTCATCTTCGGAACACAAATTAAGATATTTTTGATTAAATCTGAGAGCTGTCTCACTCCTCCATAGGCTTCTAAGGGATCGAAACTGGCCGGCCCAGAAAATTTAAAGACATCGCTAATAGTCCGAGTGACTACAGTGGCTCAATCTGAAGTTTATCAAGCGACGAGGATTCTTTTTGTGCGCAAAAAACAAACAAAAATAACGACTTTATTCAACTAATCATTTCCTTCTCTTTGGGCCTCGAGATTTCACGTAGTGAGACTGCGCAACGCTTCTAGGTTGTACGTCACACGTAGGCTTAAGCCCAATTTACACTTCTGCGTCGACCTCCCGCCGTAGCTACGTCGTAGGCGGTGTGTAGCGCGCGTACCCTTCGGCGTATCCTGACATGCACCTCTCCAAAAATGTAACAACGCGTCAATTCTACGCGGACGCAAGCGCTGTGATTGGTCTGTTAGAACCGCTCCCTCGGGTTTCACATGTTCCCTCTGCGTGCATCAACGCGGACAACGACGCAGAAGTATAAATTAAAACCAACGCGTAGTCTACAGCGTAGAGGCTCCGGCGTAGGTCCGACACAGAAGTATAAATCAGCCTTTACTATCACACACATGACCAGTGTCGGCCAATAGTGAGCCTACGCGTGACGTATAACACAGAACCGTTGCACAGTTCCACTACGTGAAATCTAGAGGCCCAGAGAGAAGGAAATGATTAGTTGAATAAAGTCATTATTTTTGTTTGTTTTTTGTGCACAAAAAGTATTCTCGTCGCTTGATAAACTTCAGATTGAGCCACTGTAGTCACTCGGACTATTTTAACAATGTCTTTAAATTTTCTGGGCCGGCCAGTTTCGATCCCTTAAGAAGCCTATGGAGGAGTGATCCAGCTCTCAGATTTAATCAAAAATATTAATTTGTGTTCCGAAGATGAACGAAAGTCTTACGGGGTTGGAACAACATGAGGGCGAGTCATTACTGACAGAATTTTCATTTTGGGGTGAACTAACCCTTTAAGTGAGTGGTGTCCAATTCCTGCTCCTGGAGAGACAATGTCCTGCCAAGTTAAGCTCTGACCTGCTCCAAAACACCTGCCTGAAAGTTTTAGTAGAGGTCCTGAAGACCTTGCTTAGCTGTTTCAGGTGTGTTTAATTAGGGTTGGAGCCAAACTCTGCAGGTCAGTGTCCCTCCATGAGCAGGACTTGGTTAAGTCAAAAGTGTTGCTTATAAGGAAAAAGAACATTTATTAAGACAGTTTAAGCATTAATCATAGATAATCCTGTGGAAAAAAAAAACAAGAATGCAAGAGCACATACTAACTGAAAACCCAAAGCATGGCATACTACTTGCTCCCTTTCTTCATATTATTTTCTGAATGCCTGAAATAGCCAAATGGCCCACCACATTTGCTAGAACATGCAGTATAAAACAGAGCACACTGTGTGAAATGCTGTACTGGGCTCGTGTAGCAGAAAGGTTCTCAACCCTGTTCCTGGGGCCCGAGCACTGCACATTTTGAACATCTCATTTGTCTGATTAGGGATAGATTGAAAATGTGCAGTTTTGTGGAGTGGGTTCCAGTAACAGGATTGCGAACCACTGGTGTAGTATACTACAGTTTGAAACAAACTTATCATTCGTGTTAGACAGACAATCCATACTTCACAGGCTCAGGGTTATAACTCAAGCAGAGCGAAGGTACAGTACTCGACTACCAGACAAGCTATTAGTTAATCTGGCAAACGTTTGGAATGGTGCAACTGTCACGGTTTCATTCAACCAGATGCATGCGGATGAGTTGAGAATCGGACTCTTCGTTACAATGCTGGTCTTACTCACAGTCTTTATGATCGAAAGGAGGACTTTGGGATGAGGGTATGGGGAGAGAAGGGGGGGAACTCAGGTCACAGAACAGCAGAACGCTCGCTTTCCCCCTTTCACTAAGGCAGAGAGCAAACCATCAACCTTTAAATATAAATGAATCAAGGATGGTCTTCAAATCCTAGAGAACACCACTCCTACTCTGAGTAAACAGACTCAACAAGGCTGCCAGGGCATAGCTACATAGTTTCTTGGGCATTTTTAGTGGCTTTTAATCATATTGTTATGCAGTTGCTAAGGTTTTCCGAGATGATTACTTACAGGTCTCAATTGGACCCTAGATGGCTACTACTGTAATTATTGTTGGGAAAATTGTGTGTCAGATCTCCATGGAGCTACGGTACACATGATTGCCAATTTCATGGCCGTGTATCCCGCGGCTCTCAAAAGGTTTACCTGTGCCTTAATTTACCCAGCATGATCTGGTGTGTGTCATCAGATTCAGAGGATTACCAGACTGTGCTTACGTAAGACTTTCAAGCGTTAATCCACCCTCTGTGCTTTCTGCTGAGAATCATCACACACGCTTCTCTTTTACATACAAATTCTAACACTAAAAATCTAAAAGATAAAATAACATTTAAAAGAATATGTATGCACCATAATGTGCCATTATATACAATGTAGCAGAATATGTTGTTTAAATATAATTGTCTTTTTTGGTTAAATGGCAATGTGAGATGCATGGCACTTTTCACATATAGCATTCAAAATGAGAACCTGTAATTCTTACAAACCAAATACATCAATGATAAATTAATACTAAATAACAGTAACACTCGAACGCTTCACAAAAAGGCCATAGTTGTATAGAGTGGTATACATTTACTTAAGGCTTTTATTATTTTTCAATATTATTTAACTATAAAAATTGAACAACCCACCACAAACATATAACCCATCAAACCTCAGTGATTCTTGCGAAATCTCAAATTTGCTTGCCTGATACGAGAACAAACTTCATTGGTTCTCACGCATCAAGCAAGCACATCTGAGCTTCCATTTAACATATTTGATGAGTTATGTTTGTGTGTTGATCAATGTTTTTATGTTAAAGAATGCCTAAAATTAAACTTTCATCATATAAAGTAATTGTGTGTCTTCAGAAGACTGATTAAACCATTCAGTTCTAATGGATTACTTTTATAATGTTTTTGAATCTTTAAAGTTTAGGTGGAATGGACTAAAGAAATCACTCTCAAAAATATCTTCATTTGTGTTTCAAAGAAAAATATCATGGGTTTGGAAAGACTTGAGGGTGAGAATGATATGACAATACTCTTTTTTTTTTTTTTTTTTTTGGGAGGGTGAACCCTTTAAGTCCATTACCATGTGACAGATAAGGGTGTTCTAAGAAGTTTCTAGGGCATTGCTATCCAGTCGCTTACAGACACATTTCAGAATAGCACAGGCCCCAAGTCTCTATGATATTCTGGTCTTTGGATATGGCTCGGGTTCCTCCTCCTATGCAAGTCTATGGGATTTTGATAGTTTTATCGTCAACTAGGAGAAAGCTGTAAGACTGATCACTTTAGTAAACAAATAACACACCTCTCCTCAATAAGCCGCAATCTTTCAAATATCATTCATTTCTGTAGCGCAAATGGCGGTTCAGGATGAGTTACAGCACTCATCAAAGACTATAAGTCTAAATCAAAGTTTGTCTAAATCCCTAACCCTAAATTGGAAAAAGTTTCACTACAAAAATTCACGACACCTTTTAAAAGGTTTTAAATTACCCAATAACAATCTTGATCAGAATTGACCCTTTAATTGATTACTGACAAGGATCCACAAAGTTACCAAGAACCCAGGTGGAAAAAGAGTGCCGTATCTGTCTGTATCTCTATAAATAGGAAGAGGAAAGGCTTATCACAAGGCTGCTAGCAGGTGAAATGCACGTTACTTTATTTCTGGAAGGCTGGAAGAGGTCAAGAACATTGAATGCCTTTTTAAAGTCTCTCAAAAGACTTTGAAAGTGAATCAACATTCACAACCCATTTTTCTCCTGCAACGTGGCATGTTTCTGGGTGAAACAGGATATTCAACACAAAAATGTAGGGTGGGACTTGATCCATTGGGAATAACAAGGATTGTGAAAAACTGCCATTCCATTTCCAGAGTTTGCAGTAAATTGTGGAGGACTATCCCCCATCCTGAAACTCTGGCAGCACCCATTGGTTGAATCAGTTCCAGGTTCAGTAGAAGTTAACAGTATTTGTGGCATCACATTGCTTTGAATAATTTTGCAATGCAGTTCTGTCTTAAGCATTAACAGACTGTCAGCAAGCACTGGGACAGACAGAGAGAGTGATAAACAGACTGTACCTCCTCCCCGAAGAAAGCCTTTATTGGAAGACACAGACTGGAACCCAGCAATCAGATTTTCAGGACAGGATCTCTCTGCCATCTTAGCTGGAAACACACACACAAGTGTTACTAAAGTCCCTCTGTAGAGGTTTGCTTAAATAAAGTGTGCAGGATAACATATGATAAATAAATATTGTGCTAAAATGACTTTGAGGACTTGATATCAAACGAAAACATTGGTTTTACCATCCAATTTGGCAAAATCCTTGTTTAGCAGCTCTTCTGCTGTGAGTTTGGAGAAATTGTCATCACCAAAAGGGTTCCAGGATGCTGAGGCTCCAGCAGAGGGTCCTGAAGCCCCCCCTGACTGATAAACACTCTGCTGTGATGAACATGGAGAACCAGAGGGAGTGGTGCTAGCTGACCTACAGCCGGCAGGAGAAAAAAAAACACAATGCAAACTTTAAAAAGTTCAACTTCAAGGTTTCTTGCACCAAAGCTCATAATTTGGTTTTGATGTCAATTTTTCTCTCTGACTCTTATAATTAAAAAGGTTGCTTTTGATACTGTACCTTTAAGGTGATTATGCCATAACCATGACAAATTCTAAGACATTGGTCTGTCTGCGGAGCATCGCTCCACAATAAATATATAAAACAGCAGTATGCTACATTGTTCTCACATGATCTCAGCATGTTGCATGAGAGAGGTGTCAAGTCTTGAAAATAAATATTTGCATTTTCAATTCGATTTTGTGTAAAAAGACCATTACTGATGTAGGGCTGTTGCTGAGCATCTGGCGGCCCAGGTTTTGCAGTGTGTTCTGGCACTAGTAGTAACCCCATCTGAGCCTTTTCGGCCAACTGAGTGTGTTGAATTGAAGTCAAAATTTCACCAATGTCACATTGTTGAGAGATAAATGTGATTGGCCTTAAATCTTTAGCAATCAAAAAATAATGAATCAACCCTGCTGAAAAAAATATTAAACAGCTTAACCCTCTGGTGCTGTTTTTGACTGAAAAATTTAACGTTTTGTTTTTTGTCGATTTTTTTACTTCATCGGAATGGTACAAAACTTGGTAAAGGTTTTGGGACTTGCTATGTGAACACACACACACACACACAAAACCTTGGACATGATTTGAAAAGGTTAAATGGTCCTGAAAAAAAATAGTCACACTTGTACTGTTCGCGGTCAAAAATGACTGCTATTGTCAATGTAGTGCTTAATCCAATACAATCTTTACCCAATGCTGGACAATGTAAAGGTTCAAACTGAAATATAACATTATTGATAAAGTATTTTCTTGATTTACTTGGACTTATTAAGGCTGGCCTCTGCAGCAGCAGCTTGAAGCAGTTGAGTGGACTTGCTCACAGGAACTCCAAATATGGTGCTGTGTGTGACATCACTCAGAATTCGTCTGTGGCCTCCCTTTGGGGCGGTCTTAGGAGAAGAGGGTGGAGTCAAAGATCCGACTTTATGCATCCCACGACTTCCAGCGATGGACTTTTACAGAAAGAAAGGTATAAACACAAAGTAACATTAAAGCCTGTGGAGGCTGAAGAATATTTATGAGGGAATTTAATTTCTGAAATTGCAAAAGAGTCATTTTGTCTTTGAAAGGTACAGAAAGAGAGCTTTAAAAAAAAAAGACAAATCTGATATCTCACTGATTTGTTGAAAAAAGTTGATCTGTGAAATAAGAAAATGCCAAAGGTTCACCTTTGAAAGGTTAAATGTCTGTTGTTAGATGAATGGGACATTTAGTACATTTAATTTATTCACCCTCATGTTATTCCAAATCCGTATGATGATTTTTTTTTTTTACATTTTGTCCACAATGGAAGAGGATATGGACTTGGGCTATTGTGCTCCAAAAATCCTTGTGCTTCAAAGCCTTATTGAAGTAGTGCATACGATTCATGTTCTATATTTCAGCTCTTTGGAAGCCACAGGAACAGACCGAAATGTAAGTCGTTATTCATTGAAAATCTTCTAAAAATACTATGCCATTGCCCTCAAATCTCCTTTGTGCCAAACTTAGGTGTTGCGACCAATACACAAACACAAATTAAACTTAAGAATAGAGCAGAGGGCTTTTCCCTGAATCACATTTTTAAATTTGTACTTTCACTTTATGAGAATATTCTGCTAAATTTCTCCTTTCATGTTTTACAAAAGAACAACAAATGAGATGTGTTTGGAATGACATGAGAGTTAACAAAGATGAACTTCAGATGTTTAAAGACAAAGATATAGATTTTAGTCAGGGTAGCGCCATATATCATTTTCAACAGAAATTAAAACGAGGCTGTCAGGGATAGACATATGCTGTTTTCAGTGGATTGTACTGTTGTACTGGGCCAGTTGACCCGCTGACGAAACCGTTTCCGTGCAATATTTAATTAAATAAATATACACCAAGTATTTCAGAGTGTTTGAAACTGTTTTCTTAGATGCGAGTAGTCAAGTAAAGTCAAGTCACCTTCATTTATATAGCGCTTTTTATAATACAGATTGTTCAAAGTTACAGTGATGACAAGAAATGAATGCAACAATTGATTGTTTTGGCTTTACAGCAGCTCTAGAAGAAAGTCATTGTCTAGTTTAAGTAAATTAAATTAAAAGAAAGTATTTTTTCCCACAGAATTGGGCTTTATAACTCGCAATTGGAGAAATTAGAGAAAAAAAAAAAAGAGTCAGAATTGTGGGATAAAAAGTCGCAATTAGCTTTTTTATTTTGTATTCTGTGGCGGAAACAAGCTTCCATAACTACTACTACTATTAAATAAAAAAATAAAAAATGTTTGTAATGTTTAAATGTAAAATAAAAAAAGTATTTAAGAAAGAATATAGTATTTGAATTGTATATCAGCTGTAAAATTAAAGAAGTAAAATTATTATTATTATCAATCCAGCAGCCCTAGTTGAGTTTACAAGCTACATTTGATTTAGGACCTTTATACGGTGCATGCCATTGTAAAGACTATAAGTCTATCTCTCACAGCTTCATTTTTATCTAAATAAAATTCAATATGTCGACAGCCCTGACTAAGGTCTATTATATAGAACTCCACTTGTGTTGTACATGACACCTAGCCCTGCAGGTATAATTATACAGTAACTGTCAACCCCTACTGATTTTATGACAATGTAAATCTTAGAAACAATTTGCAAAAAATGCATGAACAAAATCTTTACAGCAATGAATCCCCTATGAGCAAGTTTGAAGGTGCATGGCAAGTCCACAAGCAGAGGATAAAGGCTCTAGAAAGTGAAGAGAATCACTCTAACAGAACAGACACAGATGTTGGGAGGGTTACCCTCTGCACTGGGTCCACTTCAGAGTCAGCGGATGGTGCTGAGGTGGGAGGGGTGGAGGCATGTGCTGAAGGGGGTGGAGGTGCCATAGCTTTGGTTTTAGGTTGGGCCGGGATATCACCATCTACGTTATTACTATGTGAACACTCTGCAGGCGGAGCTGAGGCCGTTGCTTTGCTTTTTGTCTGTGCGGTTGCTGATAATGTCAAGAGGTTGGTTTGCGGGTGGTGTATGGGTGGAGGGGGAGCCCTATTCTTAGGTTTAGCGTGTGTAGAAACAGGGGTGGACGATGATGCAACCGTTTGTGCAGGAATGGCGCTCGTCTGCGCTGAGTGATGCTGCTAAAATAGGAGGTAGGTGCAACAATTGACATCACATGGTACAAAAACGTTTCTTCTTTTTGCAAATGTAAAAATTAAAATCCACTACGTAGCATTTCAGAGATGATTATTCTTAAATTCACATGAAACCAAAATCACAACTGTTTTACTTCCATAATGTCACATATTTATGAGGATAATAGGGTATTCGATGAGGGGAAAAATGCAAGGTAGGACTTAATGTGATCTATCTGGATTTGATGAGCTTATGAAAAGAGCGTTTGCAGAGGATAAAGTTCACAGTAAGACAAATGTGTAGTAAGAAAGTAAATATGGTCAATTCTGATTTCATGTTGACTTTAAATTATATAATTTGTAAGATTATATCCACGTTGTTTTTTTTGAAGCAGTTACCTGTTGTTGAGCAGTAAAGAAGGCTGTATTTTGCTGCTGTACAAACAGTGTGTGCTGGGGTGTGGTCTGCGGTGGAGAGGGCGTGGCCTGTAATGGAATCGGAGTGGCTTGTTGCTGAGCGACAGGAACCTGTGATTGGGCAAGAGAAACAGGCTGGGAAGCCATGTTAACACCTGTGAACAAATAGAAAAACACAAATTAAAAAACAAAACCACAATATTTGTTTGTATTTTGCATTTTTGGTTTTATGTATGTTGCATGTCATGTCTGTGCCTTCTGAATGGACCAAGAGTCTGGAAATAAATAATGTGATTTAATTAGATATTTCCAGTAATATATATATATTTTTAAATCTGTCTCTATTCAATATACGTTAAATAGTTACTCTACTTGAAGCCCTCACTGAAACTCACTGTTATTATTTATTACTCAGCATTATTTTGTAATTCTACACAGTATTTTAATCAGCAAGTTATGGTCAACAGGTTAATGTCTTTACATGACATATTCCAAATATACATACATCATACAAAGTGTTGAAATAAGGAATTATGTTTAATACAGGTATAAGCCACGTGTTTTATTCAGATTTCCAATAACCAGATATTCACTTAAATTACCATTCTAAAGTTTGGGGTTGGTCTTCTTTTTTTCTTTTTCTTTTTTTTTTTAAGTGTCTTATGGTTACCAAAGCGCCATGAATTTGATCAAAAATACAGAAAAAAAAACTGTAATATTGTGAACATTTTCTATTTTAATATACTTTATATAATTTATTCCTGTGATCAAAGCTGAATTTTCAGCATCATTCCTCCAGTCTTCAGTGTCACATGATCCTTCAGAAATCATTCTAATATGCTGATCTGCCGCTCAAGAAACATTTATGATTATCATCAATGTTGAAAACAGTTGTGCTGCTTCATATTTTTGTGAAAACCGTGCTACATTTTTTTTCAGGATTCTTTGATAAATCGAAAGTTGAAAAGAATAGCACTTATTTGAAACTTCTATTTTTGGTAAACTGCTATACACACATTTTTTGCAGTCTTTGCTTCTGTTTTTGTATATTAAAAATACATTTTAGTCTGTGTGGTAGCAATTTTGTTACTTTGTGCAGCATTTGCATTTTCAGCTATAATAAATTACTTGATAAAAATGAAACGTCATCCTAAATTAAGACAGACCCGGATAATCTGGTGCTAAAACATTTCAGGAGGATACCAATACGTCAGTATATTCATTATCAATGAACCGTGTAATGCTTTAATTAGCACTGACCAGAAACAAGAAGTGAAATGTCAGCTCAGTAGGATTCAGTGTGTCAGGAGCTCAATAGAGAGGTTTTAAAAGCTCTCTCTAATAACACACTGATTGAACCAGTGGGAATACTAGAGTCATGTGTGTCAGCCAAAGACGCATGCCGGTCAATACAACAGGTGAAGTGTCGCCAGGGGACGAGAGTAAAAGTGAAAAAAAGAAAGCGAGCACGAAGAGATGAAGGACTGTAGCCACACAAACGGGTTTGTTCTGCTGGTGATGCCTAGATAGTGTTTGATTTTGGATGGAGGAGCATAAATGAACACTCACTGATTGGCTGGCTGGGTCCTGCAGGTGCATTGGCTCTTTTGCGAGGGGTGAGTGCTGGTTGGATGGGCAGGATGCCTGCGATTGGTTGAGCTTGGCCAGCCTTGGGACGTTGCCGTGGCGCTATGGACGTTTCAAGAGTGGGGATTGGATCAGTGAGCCTGAATGACAAAAAAAAGGTTAAAGACAAGTCAGAACTACCACTATATAAGAATGCTGCAGGGATGACGTCAAAACCTGGAAGACTAATCGAGATTTTCCTATGGGTTTTTATAATGGGGTTTTTCAGTTTATAAGTAAAAAAAGGTCTGTGGTAAACATAACATGACTATACTTGAACGTTTTGTTCTACTACGTAAACTGCACACACCCATATCGAAAACGTGAATTTTGAAGATTTTATGCTTATTAAAAAAAACATTTGTTTCTAATAAGTTCCTAAATAAGAATGTGTGAGTGTGTGCGTGCAATTTACGCTGTAGAACAAAACTATTTGTCAAGTTATGTTTACCAAAAACCTTATTTCACATAATCCCTGCACCACTATATGCATCCAAAGACAAAAAAAAAATTATGTAATAAAAATGTAAAAACATTTGTGACCACACAGATAAATAAAAGTCTCACCTGGCTTTGTTTTGACTCTTCTTGGCCACGGCTTCGCTGGCTCTGATTGGCTCTGGGAGTTTTGCTGGAATGGGTGAATTCTAGTGGAAAGAGAGCAATTTTATAATTACCATCACATTGTTATATGTTGTATATGATTGTCTTTAGTCAACATGAAACATTTGCAACTCATTTTATTTCTGAGATTTCTGAAATTCAACACAAAAACATGCTGAGTGGAATTTAGTACTTCTACTTATTACCAAAATATGGAGTGAGTTTGTAGGTAGCCGAAACAGAAAGGTGTTTCAGAACCTTTCCAAAGAATTTTTTTTCTTTGGAATAACACCGGTGTTGTTTAATTGTGGTTATACAACCAAAACTAAAACTATTAAATAGAAAATAAAAAACTATTAATAGTAAAGCTGAAATAAAATATAAATATTAGATAAACTAAAAATGTTGCCTTGGCAAATAACTGAAATAACTTTAGTTTAGAATTACTAAATCTGAAATAAAAAATAAAGCTAAACTGAAATATTACAAAATTACTAAAACTTAAACTAAAAATAAAAGCTCATTCAAAATATTAATAAATATTATAATAGTATATAAATAATATACTAAAATAACACTGAAGAAGATGCACCAAATAATTGTGCATGAAGATCAGTAACATGCTGAAGAAAATGTTTTGATTTTAGGTTGACTTAAGTTTTTTTTTATAGAATAAGTTAATTATTCATTTAATTTATGAAGTTATTTATGTAGTGTCAAGTGTCTCACTCCCTAAGTGTCACATTGTTGGCACAAACACAAATGTGTAATAAAGGCATGTTCATTAGCAATGATATTTATTTGTAGACGCAGTCTGAGTCAGGGAAACCTCCTTGGATAGACAATCAGGGTGATTTCCCTACCCTGAAATACCTGTTTACTTTACAGTAAGATTTCCCATGTGCTTAAAGGATTAGTTCACCTTAGAATTAAAATTTCCTTATGATTAACTCACCCCCACGTCATCCAAGATGTTCGTGTTTGTCTTTCTTCAATCGAAAAGAAATTAAGGTTTTTGAGGAAAACATTCCAGGATTTTTCTCCATATAGTGGACTTCAATGGGAACTAACAGGTTGAAGGTCCAAATTACAGTTTAAATGCGGCTTCAAAGGCTCTACAGCTGAGGAATAAGGGTCTTGGGCAAACCATCTGGCTAGATAAGACTCTTTTTCCTCGGCTGGGATCGTGTAGAGCCTTTGAAGCTGCAATTTGGACCTTCAAACTGTTGTACCCCATTGAAGTCCACTATATGGAGAAAAATCCTGGAATGTTTTCCCTCAAAAAACATTTCTTTTCGACTGGGGAAAGTAAGACATAAACATCTTGAATGACGTGGGGGTGAGTAAATTATCAGGAAATTTTAATTCTGAAGAGAACTAATTCTTTAATAACAAAAATATGACTTATATCAGACTAACTTTACAGGGAAAAGTATTATTATTATTTTCTAACTAGTCTTTTTGTAGCAGCAACACTGAAAAAACTGTTTGTTGGAGGTCATTCCTATTGAACTCTAAACAACACTTTGCGTTGCCAATGTTAATATGTCTTTGATCATGACTCAATGCTTCCATTATGCTATCAATACCGCTCAGAGTGGGAGGGACCACTGGATCTGGGCCAAATGGCAGCCAAAAGCAACATTCCACTTCCTCTGCCGTTACGTGCAAGCACTTACTATATCTACTGAAAGGGGTGGGCATGAATTAAACATGGATTAAGAAGAATGTGCTGGAAAAGAGAACAAAAACCATGTAGAGTGTGGCAGGAAAATAGGTGAGAAGATCAGGGAAAATGGTATTTGGATCGTGGTAGTTTGTCTAGTTATAGCACAGGAAGAAGGAAGAGAGATCTTAAGTCATTCGTCACAGTCTGAATGAGCAGGTCTTACGTCGATATTCTGTACTGGGCATTCTTTCCGTGCCAGTTTAAAGGCGAAATATGACACCTGGTAGATATCTGGCCTGACATCAGGGTCTGGCTCCAGCATGTAACCTGATGGGTGAAATAAAACAAATCAAAACAAAAAAAAAGTCTACAGGTAAAAATCAGTTTTGGGTAAATCTTTTGTTACAATTTCTTACTTTTTTTCTCTTTGTGTTATATGAAGGTCACATTAACCCTTAGTCACTGTTTAAAAAGGACGACGCTTAAGTGGTTTGGGGTCGTATTGACCCCAAACTTTTAAAGAGTGATTGCATAAGGAAATATAAATTTTTTATATGGAAAACTATATATAATTTTTTTAATTCACTTCTCAACTATACAATAATGCTGTGTTTTTTGGGAAATTTTTAGGTTTTCTACATATTTACTGCACAATTACATAACTAGGCCATAAATTGGCACATGAAAAATGATTTTTTAAAGAAAAAAATCACTTAAATGATGATGATAATTAAATCTAAATAGTTTTTGGACATTGCTCTATGTGTTAGGGATAAAATACTACCATCTGGTGGTTAGTCGAAAAACTGTTTTTCTTACAGTTAAGGAATTATTGTGCAATGACCACACCTGTCCAATAGAGGTCCATAGAGACTCATTCATTTTCCCTTCATTTGTCTTGATGCTTCAAATTCTCCTAACAACTTGATATATATGATAAAAATATTTTATGCAATTCACAAAATATATATGTCAAATTTAGAGTTTGTTGTTGTTGTCTGATATATTTTGAATTATTGTTTTTGCAAATTATTATACATACATTTGCATAAACATTACAAGTCAGCACTATGACATGATTGTAATCACACACTATTTATTTCAGAAAATTATTTATCAAGAATTATTTATTTTTTTAGAACAAGAGATTTTAGAACAAAATAAATTAAATAAACCAAGTAAATAAACCAATATAATACAAAACAACAGCACCAATAAACTGTAATGAACAGGATGCATACATTTGCATACATGTGTTTGTTTGTGTGTGTGTGGCTGTGTGTGTGTGTGAGATAGAAAGCTCGTTCCACTTTGTGTTTATGCTCTAGGACCAGACCTTGATTTAAATATATATTTTTTTAGATTTATGCCAGTTTTGTTTATTTTATTTGCCAATATCTGTAACAATGCTCTCGGTTGCAGTCACATACATGTGTGTGTTTGTGTGTGTTTGTGTGTGTGTGTGTATGAGATAGAAAGTTCTTTCCACTTTGTGTTTATGCTCTAGGACCAGTCCTTGATTTATATGTGATTTTTTTATTTATTTATGCCAGTTTTGATTATTTTATTTGCCAATTTCTGTAAAAAAAATGCTCTCTGTTGCAGTCACATAGATTTGTGTCTGTGTGTGTATGTGTGTGTGTGTGCGTGTGTATGAGATAGAAAGTTCGTTCCACTTTGTGTTTATGCTCTAGGACCAGACCTTGATTTAGATGTCTTTTTTTTTTTTAATTTATGCCAGTTTTGTTTATTTTATTTGCCAATTTCTGTAAAAATGCTCTCTGTTGCAGTCAGGACATGTGTGTGTTTGTGTGTGTGTGTCTGTGTGTGTGTATGAGATAAAAAGTTTGTTCTACTTTCTATTTATGCTCTAGGACCAGACCTTGGTTTATATGTAGAACATTTCAGATTTATAATGGATTTACTTTTATTTTTTTGACAAACAAAATAAAAAAAGTCATTTTTTTCATTTTCCCATTCATTTTCAATTGGGGTCATTTTGACCCCAAACCCCTTAAATGGTAAAAAAAAATTTACACACCTTTAGAACAACCGAATCGAACCCAGTTTTTTTGTGCATATTTAGATAGATTATGTAGGAAAAGTCACAGAGTTTTATGGCCCTGAGATGAAGGGAACATTTTTAAAAAATCAAGGAAAAGTCCAGTGGGGTCATAATGACCCCAAACAGTGACTATGGGTTTTAAAGTGTGTCTTTATTTGTTTTTGCTACCTTTCAAAAGCTTACACAAGTTTATTTCTGTCATGACAACTCTCAGAGTGTTTGGCTTGACAACGGATATGACAATGTTAATATGTTTGGTAATGGCGGAATAGATACACACATACACGACACGCTGCTGTGAGCAAGTAAGACATGCTGCTGCTGCACAATATAGCAGACCCGTAGCAGATCTATACAGGTGGAGCTGGGGAAGGAGGAGGGTTTCTGAAAGCTCATTGGCTGCTGATACAGCAGGAACCAATCAGCTGTGCCCTTTAGAGAATGATGTGATTGCTAGCAGATTGAGTTAAAGACCACTCAGCCTGCACCATCTAGAGTTTCATGACAAAACTTTGTATATAGCCTTTGTCCCAAAATATGATAATCCCTATTATTCAAAGGTTGGGGGCAATTATATATATATATTTTTTTTTTTTCAAAAAAGAAGAAAGAAGTCTATTATGCTCTTGAGGCTACATTTATACGATAAAAAATACAGTACAAACGGTAATATTATGAAATATTATTACAATTTCAAATACTGGTTTTCTATTTTAATACATTTTAAAAGGTCATTTATTCCTGTGATGGCAAAGCTGTCTTCAGTGTCACATGATCCTTCAGATTATTCTAATATGCCAATTTTGCTACTCAAGAAACATTTCTTATTATAATACATTTTGAAAACAGTTGTCCTGCATATTTTTGTGGAAATGGTGACACTTTATTTGAGCTTTTCAAAAGAACAGCATTTAGTTGAAATATAAATATTTTGTAACATTATAAATGTCTTTAAATTTAACGGGTTCCTGATGAATAAAAGGATTAGTTTCTTTTTTAAAACATCTTACTGATCTCAAAACTTCTGAACGGTAGTGTACATAATATTAAATGTTTACATACAATATATTTGAAACTATGATAATATAAACAAAGAGTGAAATAAACAAACAAACCACTTTAATATTTATTGTATACTAAAAAAAAAGAAAAAAAAGATGACTGTCCTCAGTTGTGGTGTCTTTTCCACCAACAGTTCTGTCACAAATAATGTTTTTCTTAAAACAAATCATTTGTGAACAGAATATTTGCTGGACATTATTTCCAATTTAAACTGTAATTTTGCCAAACTATACAAGTGCGAAAATATTGTCTAATTGTAGTGTTGTCAAAAGTACTGACTTTTGTACCAAGTTTGTACAAAAATTATTTTAAAAATGTGACAGGCATTTCCCTCAGGCATTTTGAGCGCTGTTGAACGGATTCTTAAACACCTCTGATTGGCCATTGTGTTCATGCGTTCGATATATGTCTGTGATTGGCTACAATGATCAACGCTTCAAATACATGTTGTAAATAGACGTCTTTGACGCTCTTTGCCGAGCGCTTACACAGATACTCACGGGTGCGTTTGAAAGCAGGCGTCTATGAGTGGATCCCTAATATATCCACTGATAAACCGATCTGGTGATAGACGCCGCTTTCAAACGCTCCCGTGTGTATCTGTGTAAGCGCTCGGTGAAGAGTGAGTGTCTATTTACAACATGTTTTTGAAGCGTTGATCACTGTAGCCAAACACAGACATATATGTTGAGCGGTTTAACGCAATGTCCAATCAGAGGTGTTTAATAATCCAGTTTAATAAAGTTTAATAAAGATGTTTAATAATCCAACATGCTCAAAATGCTAGAGGGAAATACTGGTATCGTCACATTTTTTAAATTTCAGTACCGACTTGGTACTTTTGACAACACTATTTAATTGTGTGCATTTAGGACACGCACATAAAATATTATCTATGAAACTTGCATGATGAAGTGTCAAAATCTTCAAGATAATCTTTCATTAAAAAAAAAATCTAATCAGATAACGAATCAACAGCGTAACTTACGGATGAGACAGTGCATGTCGTGCGAGTAGCGGGAGTTGTCTGGAATGGTGAAGCTGCCATCACAGATGGCCACCTGACTCTCTCCAAACGGCAACGTGAAATAACACAGCTTATACAACAAGCAGCCCAAAGCCTGAGGACACAAACATACAAACACTATCTTTCTAAAAACACTATCAAAAGGAAGGCTGGCCAAAGCTTTGGTAACTGAAATACACTGTTGTTGTAGATAACAGAATTATTCTCTAACAGGCTTCACCTACATAACGTACCCATATATCTGCTTTAGTAGTGATAACTTTGCCCCCATAAAGATTCACCATTTCTGGGGCCCGGTATGAAAGAGTAGTGTACCTTAAACACACACACAGGGTAAAAGATTTAATTGATGTAAACAAGTAAAACTGTGGTTTGCAATATAAACAAAGAAACTGACACTCACTTCTTGATTTCTTCTTCTACAGCCGCTACACCTTCTGTTTGTGGATTCTGGGGGCGGTTAATGGCACTGCCAAAATCACACAACACATAATGACCTCTGTCATGCAGCAAGATGTTCTCCACCTAAAACACACACAAAGAGAGGAGACATGTGTGATAGGTTCTGCCTTTGTTTTTGAAAAGCTTAACTGAAACAGTACTCAGAAAAAAGAAAAAGAAAAAAATAATTAAACTGGTAAAAATGCAAAAGGGTACAATCAGATATTAACCCTATAAAGCCTAGTGTATATTTGATACACACATTTCTAAGGCCTCTAAATTATCAACATGATCAAAACTTATGCTGAAAAACCTGTTGCACAAAATCTAATATATCTTTATATAGTAGTATATGCCTATTTATATAGTATGTATATGTTTATACCTTTTAGCAACTAAAAGGCCTTTAAGTATAAATGTAAAAACGTCCCACTTCAGGTCTTTTGCTGCGTAATCTTAAAAGTAAATCTAAGAATAACTTGTATATTGTTAGTAATATTTCAAGATGAACATTTTCTAGACTGAATCAACTGACTTTTACTTGATTATCCATACATCATTTTTTAGAAAAATCATGTTAAAATGTGAGAAATAAATGTTTTGCCCCCGACAATAAAAACTACAGAGCTTTGATCATAAAACTAAGCATTAAAATATCATCATACTAAGACATAATATTGGGGAATATGGTGACAACTGATATTTATATGCATTTCATCCAAGAGAAAGATCTAACTGATTTACATTACAATCAAAGAAACCTTACTTTTTGGCCTATTTGGCATATTTTTGCTTAGTTTGGGCCTCTAAATAAAACTGAGTTTTTTTTTTTTCTCGAGTATTCTCCATATATCCTCCATATTCTCACTATGTCATACTGAGCCATAAAAGCCTGATGTATCAAATATTATACACAACAAAAAACACATATGCATATATACACATATAATATAGTCTAAAGGTTCAATAAACCTGCTCCATTCCAAAAAATTCATATTTTGTATGTCAGGCTTTACAGGGTTAAAGCAATACTTCACTCAGTACATTTCAAAATATTCAAATTTGAGTCATCAAAACATCACATCATCTTTATATTTTAATTGTATGGAAAAGAGGAGCGAAAAAATACTGAACACTTATTTTGTGTTTCATAAGAAATGTATATAGATTTGGAACAAAATGGAGGTGATTAAATGATGACAGAATTTTCATTTTTGGGTGAACTATTTCTTCAAGAAATAAACAGAATAATAAATGTCTGGAGAGAGTTCATACTTTGAGGTCCCGGTGGATGATGGGAGTTTTGCACTGATGTATTCGAGTGACAGCTTCACATGTGTCACAGAAGATCTGCAGCACCTCTGGCTCACTGAATCCAGTCTGTAAGCGCTGGTTCATCAGGTTCACCACCTGCCCACCTGGATCATCACACGAACAAAAGTGTTGCATTATAGTCTGGAACACTAAAAGCAGTGGGAAAAAGTGTCTGCATCCCAGTTTGAAAACGCTCTTGAGAGAGGAACACACACTGACCTCTACAGAAGTCCATCAGTATGAGAACTTCCCAAACATCTCCCGATCCCACCGCTGTGATGTTGGAGTCCAGGAAACCAACAATGTTTTTGTTACCCACAAGGTCCCTCTGTTCAAGAAAATCAGCACATTTAGAACGCAAAAAAATAAAATTGTAAATAGCTTTACATGACATCAGCAGGAAAAATCTCATAAAGAAATGCCTGGGTATACAGTGGATATAAAAAGTCTACACACCCCTTTTAAAATAGCTGTTTTTTGTGACGAAATGAAACAAAGATAAACCATATCAGAACCTTTGCACCTTTAAATAAAAATAAAAAAACCCTAAGCAATGCCACTGAAAGCTTAAGTTGATGTTTCATTAACTCTTTGTGGCCCATGGCTCTTGTAGTAGCATGCAACCAAGATGTCAGAAAAATCTTACAAGAAGAGCTGAGGTTTATTTGGAGTTAATCAGAGTCATTTCAGGTGAAGACAGGTGTGTACCATTTCAAATGAGTGTGTGTGCCACATTTTGAGTGAGTGAGTGAGTGTCTGTGTGTTTCGGGTATTCCCTATTTTATGGTGATAAAATCGGTACACGAGGATGGCCATACTAGAAATCTTTTTTTTGTCCAATGAGGGGAAACAGCTTATAAATCATACTAAATTATGTTTTTTGAAAATGTAAAAATGCAGAAAGTTTTATGTGATGGGTAGGTTTAGGGTTAGTGGATAGAATATACTGTTTGTACAATCTAAAAATCATTATGTTGTAAGACTGGAGAAACTGGAAGAGAGGGCTACTCTCTGAGAAAACAAAGGATTATAACAATATAATTATAATTATATATTTTAATCTTATTATAATCTTTATATTATTATAATAAAGATTATAATAATATCTCTTGCTATATGACCATCCCCATTCGAGACACGATCACACTTGAGTCGATCACCTCCCAATTTACAACATCATTCCCTTCACCCATCCCTACCTGAATTCACCCAAAAATCTATATGGTTTAATATGAACAATTATCATACAGTATTATACATGTTTGGTATCATTTGAAATGTCTCAGTCCGACTGGTACAAAGGTCTCATTCCCACAGAAGTAAACCAAAAAGGTAAGAAGGTGTGGAGAGTTTAGAGATATCTTGTTAACTGCTGTGGGTGTGCCCCCATGTAAATCAACTTCTGTCCCCCCAGTAAGTCTGGGACGGTGATTAATGCAAATTCCCACTGTGAACTCATGTTTACATTTGAAAAGTGGTTTCTGCCTTGGTCTGAGTATTTAGGGAGATGCTGAAGAAGGCTCGTGGCGATTCTGTAACTCAGATCACCCCATAATGTTGAAGGATCTCAAAGACTTCAGCATTGTGCATTTTTCAAAATGTCGGGTTTAACCTACATATTTTAGCATTTTGAAGTGATTATGAAATTGGCATGATACATAATAAGTGACATACAATGACATAATACAGTACATTGTTACATTTGATTTTATTCCAACTGACTCTGAAATTGTTTTCCCAAGTAGATAAAAACGGATTTGTATGTTACCGCAAGTTTTGCGTCAGATTAGTGACGACTAATATTTGGCTCTAAATCAAGTGTACTTGGTTTGCAAAGACAAGAAGTGAATTTCCGTTTAGGGCAGCAAACGTGCTGCTTGACCAACCTAAATCTGTGTGTGTCTTACTTCTGTTTGAATTTAATATTACTTTAGATAAGTGTACGTGAGAAACCACGGCATGGCCAATCCAAAGCTATTATAAGACAAGTAAAGTTGGTTGACTTATATCTGTAGTAGTGGCCATACCTCTACTGAAGTAAACGTTACGTTAAATTCAAGTGTTTGCAATTCCATGGGGGCTATACCAAAGTATCTTTCACTGTGCAAGCATGAATGCGACCAATCTCAGGTATATAGCATTAACCTCTGTTTGGTGACCAAAACTGACAAGCTTGTGAACGTGAGACCCACAGAAGACGTGAGGACCTCTGAGCGACATAGCTTTCTAATATAAGTAAAGAGTTAAATAGAACAATCAAATGTATTGCTAAACTATTATATAATTGAACAATAACCAATTGGCAATCTAACTTAAATTCGAGGTAGTGATAAAATGGAGTCAGATAAAAGCTTAAATGGAATTAAATTACTTTGCCACGCGGAAAGACAGTAACACGCAGAGACCTTCACCCGTTCTGGTGGAAACCCCCATTTGGACCGATAGACGGGCTTACAATGTCTAAGGAAAGTCCCCATAAAACATGGAAACCCAAAGTGTTACTGTGTGTGAGCTTGCATGCATGTATATGTAAATAATTAAATACATTTTATATATACAGTATATATACTGTATATATACACGCATATAAATACATACATACATATACACTCACCTAAAGGATTATTAGGAACACCATACTAATACTGTCTTTGACCCACTTTTGCCTTCAGAACTGCCTTAATTCTACGTGGTATTGATTCAACAAGGTGCTGAAAGCATTCTTTAGAAATGTTGGCCCATATTAATAGGATAGCATCTTGCAGTTGATGGAGATTTGTGGGATGCACATCCAGGGCACGAAGCTCCCGTTCCACCACATCCCAAAGATGCTCTATTGGGTTGAGATCTGGTGACTGTGGGGGCCATTTTAGTACAGTGAACTCATTGTCATGTTCAAGAAACCAATTTAAAATGATTCGAGCTTTGTGACATGATGCATTATCCTGCTGGAAGTAGCCATCAGAGGATGGGTACATGGTGGCCATAAAGGGATGGACATGGTCCGAAACAATGCTCAGGTAGGCCGTGGCATTTAAACGATGCCCAATTGGCACTAAGGGGCCTAAAGTGTGCCAAGAAAACATCCCCCACACCATTACACCACCACCACCAGCCTGCACAGTGGTAACAAGGCATGATGGATCCATGTTCTCATTCTGTTTACGCCTAATTCTGACTCTACCATCTGAATGTCTCAAAAGAAATCGAGACTCATCAGACCAGGCAACATTTTTCCAGTCTTCAACTGTCCAATTTTGGTGAGCTCTTGCAAATTGTAGCCTCTTTTTCCTATTTGTAGTGGAGATGAGTGGTGCCCGGTGGGGTCTTCTGCTGTTGTAGCCCATAGTCAAACATAGCCTGATCTCAATGCTAAAACTCGCTATTATGCCTACAATCTGTTCTATGAAAAAGTTTGGAGTTAAAAAACTTTAGTACATGTTGAATGCTGCATCTCCTGAAACGTCGCGCTTATTCATTTGTGGATGTTAACCGAATCTGTTATAGTGTTACACCATACCACTTCATTAACTGTATTCTACTGTCTACACTGCACTATATGTCATATACTGTTTATACTGCACTACCTATCTATACTGTTCACATTGCACTTTTCTGCATTTTTGCACTTCTGGTTAGACGCTAACTGCCTTTCATTGTCTCTATAATTGTAATCTGCACAATGACAACAAAGTTCAAACTCATGTAAATCTAATCTAATCTAATCTAAACTCCTGCTACCTGTACACAGATACCCAAATACATGTCACCATATATCACCATTATAAATTGTTATGCAACCATGTAGTTCAATTTTCCATATTTATTGTATGTCATTATGTCAGTATCAGTATTTGCTTTCTACCATGCACAAATAAAAATGTCACTGAACTTTCGCTGTGTAATTGTAACAATGAGCACTCAAACACACCAAACCAACAATTACTAAAAACACACAAAAACTGATTTTGCACGGGCACTGCACTAGTATATACAAATTTGAAATGTCCTTTGGAGAGATGATGTCACACTACATTGACACTAAGCGACTATTTACAATATTAAATGGAAAGACTCTAGCCTGGGAAAACCCAGACAACTTCCGGCAAATTTAGATTTGCTCTCAAAGTTAGTCTGGCAAAGAGCTCATTCAAGCCCATTTCCAATCCGTCGAAATCGAGGCACCAATCAGAAACGTTGGGGCGGGCTTTACACGATGACGACAGCGCTGGGATTTTGAAGCAGATTTTGTAGCCTACATTACAAAGATGGATGCCGCCGTCGAACATCACTCGTTCGAATCAGCTATCCCGTCTGTTTTAAGCGATTTGAACGTTTCCTTTTAGTTAAAAACCGAGCAAAGAACAACACTCGGAGATTCTCCGCCGCTCTGAATACGTAATCTCCTTCATCGCTCTGATTGGGTTTAGGTCTATCCGCGACGTCCGTTGGTGACGCCCCTTTGGAAATGATTTGTCTATGACGCTTTGCCAGACCATAACTCAGTTACAACTGAGAATGGTCTGGTTTTAACCAGGCTAGACTCCCAAATCACCCTTAATTTTTTGACTTAATCACTAAACTCTTTCAATAACAAATGCTATTTGCTCTATGTGTAAAACCAGTTTATTTGGTGTACAAATAAATACATTTTTATGTATATAAAAATTCCCGCAATTAATATCAGAGGTTTGACAGAATTACTGAACAGTGTCTGAATTGTGAAAGCTCACTTTGTTTTCCGACCATTTGCTAAAAGCTCAGACAATGGGCCTTTGAGGCGACTAAGTCAATGCTAGTTTTTAAATGGAATAGCTTAGCTGGTCAATGTGCTTTCAAATCAACTCATTCATTCACAAATTTGAAATGCCCTCAGTTAGTCGTCTATTTAGGAGTGCACTGTGAGCAGCTGCTCATTTTGAAACAGCAAGGCACTTTGTGAAGCTAAAACAGTGCTGACATTTTCCTCCCAGTCTATTTAGCAGGGCTCACAGTGAAGAACACTGGATTTCCATTCGGAACTCAGTCCCAGAGGACACGAATGACCTTTACCGGGACTGAACTGTTCTCAGCGCTGTATTTACTGCACTACATGCAAACTGAGGAACAGTAGACCTCAAATCCCTTTAAGATTGTGCATGGCTCAGTTTTGAAGGTCTAATCGTAATGATATTAAAAGGGTAAATCAAATAGAGGACAAATGGTGATGGGGGATGGGAATCTACAGAAAACATCTGTTTGGAACAGTTGAAAGGAATAGTGTACCCAAAAAGGACATAACAATGACGTCTGAATGCATCTGAAGCCATGCAATACCTTTGTGTCAGCAATAGATTGAAATTTAAGTCCTAATGTACAAGATAATAATGTAGAGCAGGTCAGTTATCGCAAAATAACCTGTAAAGGGTATTAGTGAAATACTCAAGTTTAATTTTCAATACAATCGATAATTTAAAAGCAAGATGGCACCAGTTGCGTTTGTGTGAATCAAGAGAAAGGAAATCAGCCGTGCTACGTGCTGGTCGATAGGAATTACGTTTGTGAAATCTAATTCGTTGGTTGAATAATCCTCCATCTCTTTAGTGTGTATCCTGTGGAAGCACTAAGTCTCCGTTGCGTTCAGTTTTTTAAAAATTATTTTTATTTATTTATTTTCTCGGTTGTGTTCAGTGCTTCTCTTATGCGCTCAGTGCTTTCTTCCGGAAACAACGGACCATATGAGATACTAAGTCACAGTTCAGCTCACGTAGCACGGCGTTCGTGGTTCGACTGGTCGAGACTGTTTTCCAAAGATGGCTCCTGCCTGTATATGCGAAGTGTACTGTCTTTATAAAGTATCTTCTTATTAAACTGTCTGTACACTTACAAAGTTCTCAATGCTTCGGTTTGCAGGTAGGGACCCTCATTATGCTACCGTGTTAGTGTGGGGCTATTTTAAAGGAACCATATGTAAGAAATGTATTTCAATTAATCATAAAATGGCCCTGATATGTCACTACTAGACAATAAGAAATCATATTCATCTCAAATACTTATATCACTGACAACAGTAGTCCGGCCAGGATATTGTCATTTAAAAAGTGAAGTTGCAGCCCTCAACTGATGTTGATGTTGTCATGTTGTGTTTTGGTCTGATGCGTCACCCTCCACCTATCTACCAATCACGAAGCCAGTAGTGTTGCGGCATCCGGGTTGCCAGCTCTGCTGTAGTTACCACAGCTGCAGCTACAAACGTGTCGGATAAAAAAAATGTCTAATGTTACGAATAAAAAAAAACGCGTTATGGGATTATGGGATTATGGCGTTAAAAACGCGTACATCCCAGAGAACGGTCGACTCGGTACCTATGTGTAATTAACCCCTAGGTTCATTTTGCGCCGGAATTGTCCTTTAAATGTAATTTTTACTGTGCTATACAATTAAGAACAAGTAGAAATCTGTGAAAAATATAACGACCCAAAGACAAAAAAGACAATAAGCCGTTATGAGCAATAGCCTTTTGGGCAGCGCTGTGTCATATTCCATAGCTTTGCACAAGGCAACCCGCGTTCAGGCTTATCTGTTCATTAATGACATCATCAGCGACTAGTCGACGTCGACACGACTTTAAATCACATAAATGTTGACTTAAAAAAATCGGAAGTCGTTCAACCCTGTCAATCCCTGCTGACACTAAATAAATAAATAAACAAACAAACTAATAAATAAGTACAAATCAAAGCTAATTTGTACATTTTTTTGTTGGCTAACAAATGCTAATTGAATTTTCGACTGTAACCCATACTGACTTGGCCTATACCCACTGAACACAGTCACATCTGCATGAAATTTGGTAGGCGTCAATAACAGGCCATTCTGCAGACAGATATTAGTTTTTGTCAAATTCTACCAATAGGGAACAGTATAACTAAAATATCTGTAAATTGAAATTCACAAATATAACTATTCTGTTATGGCAAATTTTGTTTAGTGGTCATTATCTCCACTTTTTCAAAGAGCTTGGACCCTGTTAACGGCTGCCTGTGGTGATATGCAATTGACATTCATTCATTTGGCAGATGTTTAAAAAAAGCAACTTTGGGTATACATCAGTGTGTGCCTTTAGTGTCATGCTCTCCCAGTTGAGCTGCAGAAAGATTACAAAAATGTGTAAGGCATGTAAAGAAGGCAAGGAGGCAATGTCTCACCATAATCTGAATCTCCCTGTTGCATACTTGAAGGTCATATTCATTGTTCACATACATTCTCTTCAGCGCACAACGGACGCCCTGATGAGTCCTCACCAGAAATACGATAGCAAAACCACCTGTGGAAAGAAAACCAACAGCCTGAAAATCTTTAAACACAGCACAGTCGAGCTACTGAGAGCTCACATGTACAGAAACGCAAATCAATCTCATTTGTAATTCAACAAATGTAACACAGCATCACAAGGAACACTGGCAACCTTTGTCCAGGGAAATAAGGAGGTATTGAACACTGGTTCCCTTTTGCATTCAGAGCGACTGTCTCTACTGACGGTGTATAATCACATTACAGATACTAGGTTAACCTCATTTCAATTATATTATGTCTGACAGCAAGAGAAAGTACTCCCAAAACACCTTTGGTGGATCACAATAACTAATGCTCATACTTGGGATTAATGATTTAAAGTTCAACAAATCACGGACCGTTTGTGCTGGGAATGTTACCTCAAATTTGATGACTCATATTGAAATTTGATGACTCATATTTAAAGTAATAGCACTCATAGTGCTATTACTTTAAATCCATTTCAGTTTCGCTTGCACCTCACTTCACTGTTTCAGAGTTACTACTTATTTAGGGTCTGTTTACACGACACCGTTTTCAACTAGAAGCAGGAAACTTTCTATGCGTTTTGGCCGTTCATTTACGAGGGAATGGCATTTTGGGGGCCTGAAAACTTTTGCACGTGCACGTTTTTGAAAACGATACCGTTATCGTCTTTTGACAACGTTGTCCTCTGTACGTGAAAAACACAAAGGAAAAAGTTCTCTGTTCTAAGTACATTGTTGTTGTGTAAACGTACCTTTAGACAACTTGTTTCATGAGTAATTGAACAATAGGAAATTATATGAATGCAATCCACACATAAAAGAAAAAAATTCATACAAAGCTCAAAATAAATATCATGAGAAAAAAAACTGAGTCAGATTGAATCAGAACAGCCCAACTAGCAACAACCCAAAACAACCCAGAAACTGCAGAGCAACATAAAAAACACCAAGTTACGACCCATTTGCAGTTCTACTCATTAGTTTACATACCCCTTGCAGAATATTCAAGATGCTATTAATATATTTTTTTTTAATCATTTTAGAAATTGCATGTTATTTTTGAGTACTGTCCTGAATAAGCTGTTTTACATAACAGATGTTTACATGTAACCCACAACAAGACTAAATTTACACAAACTAACTAGTTTTAAAGTTGACATACCCTTAAATCTTAATACTGTTTGTTGTTATCTGGATGATCAACAACTGTTTTTTATGTTTTGTGATAGTTATTCTCAAGTCCCTTGTTTGTCCTGAGCAGTTAAACGGAGCACTGTTCTTCAGAAGAGTCCTCCAGGTCCTGCACACTGATTGGTTGCCTCATCTAGCATCTTCTGCATATTTGAACCCTTTCCCAACAATGACTGTATGATTTTGAGATCCATCTTTTCACACTCAGGACACTTGAGGAATTCATACACAACTGTTAAAAAAGGGTTAAAGCATTCCCTTGACGGCAACATGATCATATTGTTCTTCATTTAGCACTGTCCTTCAGAATCTACCTAAGATGTTTCATTTTGTTTGAGAAGTAGGATTTCCAATCTTGTAGAGAAATGTGAGAGTTGAAATGTATTAGATACAAACCGGATGATGTAGCCTAAAACCTGAGATCTTGTTGCAACTCTTTTCCCAAATATACATTTTGCATGTATTTTTAGCTGTGCAGACATTGAATATGGAAACAATATGGCTGACTTTGTGAGGTTTCTCATAAAAAAAAAGAAGCAGCAGATACGATCAATGCTGCTGTTAAGACTAAGAGTTCTACCTGTAATTTTATTTAGAAAAAGACTAGAATATCCTTTAACCTAAGGTTGAACTGGTTGGTCTACTGCATGTCTGCCCACAGGCTGGTCAGTCAAGTTAAATATTACCAACAGAATAGCAATGCAACAACGTCACTTTTAACATCTGACACCAAAGTTACATTGTGGCAACAAATCCAGGAATCTCACTTTCTTGACTGTCGCAGCATAAATAGTTACGCTGACACGGCAAAAGTATGGTCATCAGATTACGCTGTTCGCTGAGATGAAGCACCAATGAGGTCCAACAAAAATAAAATAAAATGTCACAAATGTCAGTCCAACTGAGCAACTGGACAAGAGGAGCTCTGTCCAGAAACCTGCAACTGTCAAAGGCACAGAACAATGAACTTTATTGTCTGAAAATTTGATACGATTTGGCACAAAGCACATAAAAGTCTCATGTTTTCAGAATTTTGATTTTTAGAAAGTCTGTGAGTAGTTTGTGTGCATGACCGTACCCCACCATTGAAGTTCTGGACCTCTACATTTTTATATATAATAAAAAGTTGTGAAATTGGCAAATAATAACTATACTTTGGATCTGCAAAGATATTGTACAGTGCCAAGATTCAGATGTTTCATCAGAGCTGATGAGTGAGATGTAAGATTAATATTTGAAGCATGTTTTACAATAGAATTGTTAAAGGAATGACAGTAATATCCAGGGATGCCTACTCAACTTTTGTCAAATGTTGCTGTTTTGCATTGAAAAAAATATATAATTTAAGTGATTTATGTAATATAATCTTTAACTGTCAATGTGACAAGACAATAAACATCGACAGAGCCGTTTTCAGCATATTAGTCACAAGTTACTTTTAAAAGTAATGCGTTACAATATTGTTTCACTCCCTTTAAAAGTAATGCTGTAACTACTTGGTTACTTTTTATGTAAAGTTATGCATTACATTACTTTTGCATTACTTTTTCTCAGGTGGGCTGGGCTTGCTTGTTCATTTTTAATAACAAAAATAAAAAACCAAACTTATATTTTTGGGTAAAAAACCTTTTTACACCAAAAGTGAATGAATAGCCTCAGGTTGAAGGAAATGTAAATTGTGCTGCCATCCTAGAATAGGACGCAGGAGAAGAAAGTTCAACACTCTTACTTCAAAAAAACAAACAAAAAAGTAACACAAATGTGATGTTTATGTCATTTTTGGTTGAACTGGATCATTAAAGGTCAGCTGCAAACACATCGGTTAATAAAGTGAGATTAAATGCATAAAGTAGTAGGGCTGCACGATGTATCGTTTTAGTATCGATAGCGCAATGTGGATGTGTGATGTCAAGTATAGGGATCGTAGTTGATCGGCTCCGGTTCGGAGCGCATGTGAGTCGCAGATTAATTGCAAAGTTTAACCATCGTAGTGAAAGTTTTTCATTTGCACGTGTTTTTAAATCCTGTCAGTTTAAACCGAATTCAGTTCTCTTTCTCTTTCTTTTGAGCTTGAACGGACGCATGCATGCAAATTTAAGTCAAAATACCCGTCTTGGCGAGTAACCTTGTAAACACAGTCGGTTATGTGTTGTAAACAATCAAACGGATGCATATCATGATTATATTGGGTCCGTGCATTCATCTTAAAGTGACTGCAGCCTTATATACCTGCAGCTTTTTGTGTCACCATGATAACCAAACAACAAAAGAGAAAATCACTTTTGTAGTTTTGTATTATATTTAATTTATACAGTGAAGACTATGCAGTGTTATTTTAACATTTGATTATTCAATGTCTTTACCTGCATACAGTTAGATTTACCTGAAAAACAAAGTTTTCTGTTGTATTTATCTATGCTTGTAATTTGTGTATTATTTTGATAATAAATAATACATGCACTCTCAGATGCACTCTCCTACAATATCACCCCAATCATTCTAGAATGATTCATTCTTTACAAATAGAGATATTCAAATCATATGTTGAAATTATTTTCATATCGCAATATATACAGCAGAAAAACAACATATCGCAATGTCAGTTTTTTCTAATATCGTGCAGCCCTATCATGTATTACACGTAGCAGATACAGGTGGAGCTGGGGAAGGTGGAGGGTTTCTGAAAGCTCATTGGCTACTGATACAGCAGGAACCAATCGGATGTGCCCTATTATAACGATGTGATTATGAACAGGTGAGTTAAAGGACCTATTAGTCTGCGCCATCTAGAGTTTCATGACAGAACTTTGTATTTGTGTTATTTAACATATGAATTGTTGCAGGTTTGCGTAATATTCGGAGATTGCATTTCACTGTTTTTATTCGATTTGAGGAATACTGTATCTCTTTTTGTGCAAGATGAGTAAATGCTTGCTCACATTTAGTCTAGATCTACCTCTACGCCTACTCCTGATTTCTTTTAACATAGGGGCAGGAGAAGTGTCAGTCAATAAATGGGAATACAAAGTAACTTGCATTACTTATTCGATATTTTTTTTGTGAAATATTATTGTATTGCTTTACTTGAAAAAGTAATCCGATTACGTAACTCACGTTACTTGTAACGCGTCACCCCAACACTGTTAGTCATGAGATTAAGGTGGCTTTCACAATGGGCACATTTGCTGCGGTCCGAATCAGAGCGTGATTTTTCCCGGCGCCCCCTGCAGAGTTGGTCTGGTTTCACACTCTGTTGAGGTGACAGCTGAGACAGCAGTTCATTTGCTACTCTGATTCCCCTCACTATGCGCGATTACACTCACTCACTCTCGCCCGTATCCAAGGTAAATCATCACCACTGTTTCCCTTACATGTGTTTGGTTGAACTAATGATATCGTCATCGGCTAAAACGCATGCGCAGTTTACTTTACTGTCTGAGCAAGTGCGAGTTGCTTTCACATTCACGGAAATCCACCACAGTCCTTCAGAAATCATTCTAATATGCCAATTTAGTGCTCAAATATTAATAATGGTTGTTATCAATAATGAAAAGTTTTTGCTGCTCAATATTTTTGGTGGAAACCTTGATACATCCTTTGATAAATAGAAAGTTTAAAAGAACAGCATTTATTTGAAACAGAAATCGTGTGTAATATAAATGTCTCTACTGTCACTTTTGATCAATTTCATATGTCCTTCTTAATTTTATTTGTATTTTTTCTAAATTTAATCTGAATTACCCCAAACTTTTGAATGGTAGTGCATCCATAAATCATTTGAAATAGCAAAAATTGTATTCAAATTTGATAATAA